GGTTAAAAATATAGGTAGAGAAGAGCTAGTATTATCTCTTCCCCTTCATAAAGGTTTTTTTTTTTTTTTTTTTCAAAAATCTTGTACCTATTTCCAGATCTCAGTGAAGCAGGTCTCACTCAGCTACTGGAGCATTCCCTGCTTAGACAAATTAATAATGGAAAAGCTTTAAAAATCAATTTCTAATAAAATAAAATAAAATGGTATCTCTCCAAATGAAGGACTTGCTGTGCACAGCTGCTCTTGCGTTAACCATTAACAGCAAGCAATAGTGTTGCGGCCATGATATTGAACTCTCCAGAGAAAGTCATTACTGAAGCAGATACTAAGAGACTGGAAAGCCTAAAAAATCTATACAAAATGAATCAAAAGCCTTGAAAAACTGAGAACTTCACCTTTTTTTTTTTTTTTACAAAAGGTTTTATATTTTATAGCTGTCAACTCCTGTTAACGACTCAACATTTAAAAGAACTTTTAAAGTAAAAAAAAAAACAAAACCCCAAAACACTTTCCAGTAATGCAGCTTATAAAGTATCAATTAGTGCCATTAGCACATAAGTTGGATAGTTCTACTTTTTACATTGAAATAAGCTTTTCTGAACATTGTTCACTTCCTTTATTCACTGAAATCTGGGAGGAAAGGACATGGGCTGACATGATTTGGATCTAACCATATTCATGATATTGAAAATCTTACAATACATTTAATTGTGGCTCATTTTTTTTAAAAAAACTGATATCCTGAATGTTGTAGTTTTGCAAGCAGATCCACCCAGTTACAGGATAATGTATTATTTCTAGTGAGTAAATGAAATTGCAGCCAGGAGGCCACCATATCTTCATGCTGAAGTTCATACCATCTCTGTGGTTTTACGATACAAATTGAAATCTCCAGAATTTGCTTTTACAGAAGAAAAAGAAAAACAACATCAAGAAAAACCCAACAAGATATCTTGTTGCCTCTGTACCTCTTCTCCTCAAGCTCTGATATTCCAGGGGCGGTGGGGAGGAGTGAGCGAGTGGCCTTATAGTGCTTTGTTGCCAGCTGGGTTTGAACCACAACATCAAAAAAACTCAGGATTTCCGCTCCACATGTGCAGAAATAACAGAAAAGCATGCCTTACTCTTACTTGAAATATAGCCAGGCCTGTATCTCCGTAGTGCAAACAGCAGAAGTGGGTAGGGTATCAAATCAGATTAATTTATAAAATGTCGAATCTAACCATATGCCAAACAAGAAAATCATCAAAGGAGAACATGACTAAAGCGTAACGTATGCAACAGAAAACTGTGTGGTGTGGACATAGACGTTAGTATACAACAATGAAACACGGTGAGGCTGACTTCTTCAAGACATTCGATAAGCCGGGTTCCAAGGCATCTCATTAAAATGCATGGTTTAAACAATAGGTTATATAAATAAAGCTGTAAATCTCAAAATCCTTCATCTTCAATTTTAGTTTTTTAGGAAAATGTGTTATCATCTTTTTGTGTATTTCATTCTGCTTTCATCTTAGACCATATAATCTTTTGTCAGTAAGATGTAAGCCAGTTTCCCCAGATGGCTTTATAGTGTATTCTGTATATGAACCAAGGCAACGCATGCCTTTTTCGGTGATCTCCATCCCTTCTAATTATTTCCTGTATACTTATAAATACATAATTACTTATTTTTGCATAGAGAGCATTTATCATCTTTTAAAAAATGATTTTTTAAAAGATGAAATCAGGGTAAATTAAAAGTAGATCATTGGAGATCAAATGTCCTAAGGGAATTTCAGTTTCCTAGTAGTAGCAGTTTCAATAAGATCCTTAAATACTCAGAATGTTACCAAAACCAGTGAATAGATTTGAGACCATTCAAAGCCATCTAAAATTAAAAGTGTTAATCCAGAGAGAGCTTAGGATGAATGAGTAATTTAGTCATGTTAATTCTTGAGGTTGAAGAGGGAATTTAGCACTTCTTTGGTGTGAATGAAATTTTAGATACTAAGGGCTGAGTCCTTATTTATGTTTAGCCATGCAGAGACTTACTACTAGATTATGTAAACTGTTGTAGAAGACATCATAAAGATCAATAGAACTAGTTTTCTCAGTAAACATTTTATTTCTTAATTAGTGTTTGTATGATCCAGCACCCATTCATATCTGATGAAGAATTTTGTAGTCACAGCATAAACCCAGAAAAATTTCCTCACACAGAAACTTAAGCACGTAGGTGCTTGTTACATTTGTCTCAACAGAAGATAATATATTAATTACGAAAAAGAAACTTATTGACATGGGGCACAGAAAATACTGGCTTAATGGCATGGTAAGAAGTACTGTTTTTAAAGACCTTCTCCAGATCTCTCTGAAGCTGCTGACAATCTTTCCAGGACTGTGCATACTGAAAGGGCCAGGCTAGTGAAAGAGAAGTAGAATTTAGCTGTTGCGTTTGCCACTCAGTCTGTCTCCCAAAATGAAAAACAATGTTAAGTGTTACCATTCACAGTAGTTTCCAGAAGGATTAGATGGACTGTGAGTAGTGTGCCGAGTGGTTTATTCACAGTTTATTTTGTGTATAACTGGACCTTTGTAATAGGTCTTAGTCTAATACTAGTGAATGTCTTCCCTTCCATTGTGCTTTTTTTAACTTACTAATATAGATGTAGCCAGAAAGGGACAGACTGAACTTTGTTGCAATCCAGGAAATTACTGAAAAACTATGGTAGAACTGAGTGCAAGGCTTAGTTGCTCGAGCCTTAATAGAAGGACCTCCTCTGAAGACCGATTTGGAAAGATTTGTCTTCAGATCCTTTTTTTTACTCTGTCTCAACTAGAAGTTTTGAGCATTCTCTCCATAAAGACAGGGAAAGAAAAGAAATGAAAGGAAAAAAAAAAAAAAATTTAAAAAAAGTGCTTTTCTGGTTTGTATTCCAGTTAAAAAAACCCCAAACTTTTGCCTTTTGGTGCTTTTGGAAATAGGGAAGGTTTCAGGCATTTCAAATTTTATTATTCCGTGTTTCCTTACAACTTTAAGTTAGTATTAATTTTGCCTCTTCATGTTTCTGAAAGATTTGCCACACTATATTTGGTCTAAAGGCCCAGTTCTGAAGTTTGTTCTGTCAAGGCAGCAGGCGTTGACCTCAAGGAAGTGATGTGCTTACCTGTTAGGTGGTATTACATTAATGTATATTTGTAGCTCTGATACTATGTCGGTATCCACTGTTACAGCAGAATATGATGATGTTAGTAGCACTTTTCTTCAGCTCCTGCATTCAGATTCTCCTTGAACCACCATTTGTTTGCTTTGGAGAACGCAGTTAAGGAGTTGGAATTATCTTTTGTATGAAAAAAATAACATTAAAAAAAGAAAAGTTTCAATTCACTTCTTAGTGAAAATTGCTAAGTTATTATCACTCCAGCAGTGTAAATTACATTTTATCTGTTGTTTTGAAATAAATCCAGATACATACATTCAGATAATTCTCTGTTTACGAAGACTGTCCAAGATAATGGGTTGATTAAGAGGGACAGATTTGATAGGGCATAGCCTTATATTGGATGTCAGTGGAAAGACCGAAAGTTTGGGCAAAGGTATAGCAGTGTTGGTGGGTACATTGGATGCAGATTTTGCAAGTCTGAGGGAATGCATTTCAAGGATGGATTCTTCAGATGGAATTCCAATGGATGGGTTAATCTGGACAGACACAAAAAGTCCATGATTGAACATGTGCTAACCACAGCTTCAGGCTCATAAAATACTGGTGAATTTAACCTGTGCATACCTAAGTAATGGTACTTAAGCTACAAATTTCACATATACCAGTCTCAAAAATTCTATTGCCTCATTTCTGGAAATTTCAGAGACCCTTATTCCCTTCAGGTTGCAAAGGACGTCTCAGGTGGTCTAGTGTGAGATCATAGACAATATTGGTGCAGAGTCTGAGGTTCTTCTGGTGTGCAACAATAAGCAGTATTTTCTGTGGCTGATAAACATATACTGATAAATGTCCTGTGGGTTATGCTCAGTTTAAATGTTCTGGTAACTGATGTACCAACTCAGGTTATGGTCACTTAGGAAAGGGTTCATTTAGGAAAATAAAAAATAGGCAGCTACTCTAAGCTGGTGGCTTCTTTTATATTCATGGATAGATGTATCATAATTTGTCCCATTTGTCTTAGTTGAATGCTTTTTCAGGAAGAATCCTGGAGTTGTCTATATCTTTCTTTATTTCCTAGACAGAAAAAAGATTAATGTCAGGAAGTAGCTCCACCAAAGCTGTTGGCATACAGTGAGAGAGCAAATTGCAGAACATTATTTCATTTCATGTAACTTTTCACATTTTTATTTGTGTTCGTTAAGCTGTCAAATATTTTTGAAAGGCTCATTTTGTTTTTCAGTAAGGAAAAGAAAGATTCCTACCCTTGCTGAAAATTATGGTAAAGCTTAGATTAAATACTTGCAAAAGGTTATTAATCTTAGCATTTTCTTTACAGAGACACAAATATTTCCATCTCATTTTATTTTCAGAAAATATGATGCTTTCATGTTACTTTTCTAAGTTGTGGTTTTAGGTAAAGCTCTCATGTCAGCGTATAATTTTGCAGATGCATAACTAAGCTTTAGATCAGTACAGTGTTATTGCATACAACATTAATTAACTTATAACTGGTTTTAAAATTATGTACTTTCTTGTAAGAAAAAAAAAAGTTTTTTCACTTTACAAAGTACTTTGCTTGAAATTCTGGTTCCATTGAAGTCAGTCGTCAATTATAGTCAGTAACTGTTTATTCAACACAACTTGGCCCTTTAAGGTGATATATAGTTTTATTGAATTATATTATATGCTCATATAATCAAAAACAGATTACACAAATTCATTTTTATCCATACCAAATGTTGATATTTATATAGTGCAAAACCTGTGATATTAATTTATTATATTATTGTATTTAAAATCCTTAAGATAAAGTTTTTAATTTATACTATACAATTTTTTTTTTTTCATTTTTAGCTTCCCCATGGGTAGATAAAAGTCGAACTCCAAACAAGATAGATCTGTATGACGTTCGCAGAAGACCATGGTAAGCTTTCTTCAAAGGACTGATGTATATACATCACTTACTTTCTAGATATGACTGTAAAGACAAATTTTTCTGATTATTTATCTCTAATAGTCCTTGCTTTTAGATATTGCTATTTGCTTTTTAAAAACTCAGTTAATTCTTCTGAATAAACAATTTTCAAATCATACTACTTGTTATGCAGTATCCGCTATCGTGCATCGTACCATTGCATTACATAGACCTTTTAGGAGGAGGATAACTACCAAATAGGTATAAGGAAATTAAAAACTTTGATTTTGTGCCAAAATCAAATGTAATTCAGATTATTAGACTGAGACATTCTTCCAGACATTTGCAAGTGTTTACGAAAATGTCTCGGTGGTTTAGACCAGCAAAAAAATCACTAGATTGGTAAAAGACAAGAGAACAGTGGGATTCTTTCTCATGATTTATTTTTTTCTGTAAGCCTCTCAAGGCATAATGCATATTGATACCTGTGTTCATACTAGTTGAATATATTCTTTCAAAGGATGAAGTATTTTTCTGTAAACTGGGCTGACGTAATAATTAATCTGTCATTAAGATCTTTAGCTCTGAAATAGCATTCATGTTTTTCAGTTATTGACATCTGAAAATAGTGAATTTTGATCCGTATATCCTACTTCCAGACTTTGCTAATGTGTTTTATACTTTGGCTTACTTAGAAGACACAGCAAGAGAGAAAATGATAGCACATGATTTTCTACTAGCTATAACAGGGGGATTTGTTGGTTCAGCTAAATTTAGTTTAGAGATTGCAGAGTGTCTTCCACCACACGCAACAAATGTGTTTTCAGATTTGTGTCATTCATACCCTTTATTTATTTCAGGTATATCCAAGGAGCTGCATCTCCCAAAGACATGCTTATTTTAGTTGATGCGTAAGTGTTTTAATGTCTGGATATTGACATTAGGGGGATAAAAGTACTTAGATATATTGAACAAATCTCTGTATGCTGAAAAATGGAGAGAGGATTAAGAAGTCCTTATATGCAAGGATCACAAATCTTGGTATGAACAAAACAAATACACAGGAAAAAATAGTTCAAAAAGCCCAAACCAAACCTGAAAGTTATTTAAACTGGGGACAAGGAAGTGTTTTTTAATCATTTTAATATTATTCTGCTTTCAGTTTCTTAATTACTGAAGTAATCAATTGAAAATTTCTCATGTGCATGCCAAGATTTGTTGTAAAACACAAACCTAAAACCAAATGACTAGAGGCATTACAGTAGATTTAATCATGATTTCATGAGCCTGAAAGATAAGAACGTATGTAGACTTTGAATGTTTTACCGTACATATTTAAAAATTGCCAAGTTTGAATACTATAAAAAATAGAAAGTGAGCAAAGAAATTAATAAAAACTCTCTCTTTGCCTTGGCAAGGCTTCCTTTGTTTAGCTAATGTTGAAGGACTGAAGGAAGCATTGAACCTGATGTGTCAAACATTGCTTTATGCTGAAAAAAATCTCAGTAGGAGAATTTGCATTTAATGCTTTTAAATGTGGTGAAGTGCTTTCATATCAGCAGTGAAGTTTTTTATTATTTCTTCACTTCAGCTTAGGTTTTGCTCTGAATCAAACAAGCTGTCATTTGGGTATCTGAAAATCTAAAAGCTGTAAATCTGTGTGTAGGTGTATGAAGTGTTTAGATAATGCATTGGTTGAAGGTGGTAAGCTCTCTTAGATTTCTTGAAGTGAAAATGAGGAAATGATGTACCATTATGACTTCATCTGAGCCACAGGACTGGGGCTTTAGATGCCAGTTTGGGACATAATTTTTTATTATAATAATGTAATAACACTAATGATGAGTTGGAGAATTCAGGAGAATTATTGACAGTTTTAGTGTGAAAGTTGGTGAGAGTGCTAGTTGGTGCTCTGTATTTTCTTTGTACGTTTTAAATAAAACTTGTTAAATTCAACTTTTCTGTTTTCTTGTGGATTTCTGTTAGGAGCGGGAGTGTCAGTGGATTGACATTGAAACTAATACGCACCTCCGTCATTGAAATGTTAGAGACCTTGTCTGATGATGACTTTGTGAATGTAGTGTCAGTGAGTATCTGTTCTTTTCACAAAATTTGCATTGTCAACAAAGCCATAAGCAAACTACCGGATAATAGATACTTGAATGTTAAGCTGCTAAGAGACTTAAAATATATTGCAAAATACCACATTTGGCTTCCTGTTGTCTTGTAACGTATAATGAAATTCCTAGATTTGTTGCTATCTATACATTTGAGTGAAGGGCAAAAGTTGTTTAAACAAACTTCTGTGTAGCCAAATTCTCCTTTCCAAGATATTATTCTGGTCTGTGTAACACATCATCAGTTTCACTGGTATATGCCAATTCACTTGAAATAATTGGTGGTTCCCTGGTTTTATATTGTGGTATGAGAAAAAATGATACAGAGGAGGTAGGGGGAAGTTCCTTCTCCCATACAGCAGATATGTGGGTTGCTTGTGTTGATAGATGCATGATGACAGAACATGTACAGCCATACATCTAACCCGCCAAAGAGGTGTTGCTGAGAAGTTCTACAGTTAGGAACTTGGTGGGTAGCAAAGCAATTTTTTCGCATAATATGTATTAAAATAGAGGGGAGAATCCATGAAGAAACTTAAAAATCCACATATTTTATGCATACAGAGACAACATATGTGATGTGCAGGTCAGAGGATTGTTAGGGGGAGGGTAGGATTGTAAGGATTTTCAAATGAAGGTGATGCTGGCTTTTCAGCAGCTGAGATTTTTCAGAACATGATCTGAAACTTTAGTACTACCTATAATTACTACACTTCAAACTTGACTACCAGACTTAAAACTTCTGTTTCCACATAACAGAGTTTTAAATAGTTCTTTAAAATAGTTTTGGGGGTTTTTTTGAATGGCATTTTAGGTTTTCTAATACTTGCCTGGAATTTAAAGTGTGAATTCCCGGTTTTCAAGAAAGCTGAAGGCAAAATAAAATAGATTTGGGGAGGGGGAATATAGTATGGGCAACTTCCAGTTTTCAGACTGACACCTTAGGTGTCATGCTCTAGCCTTGGGCAAGGCTTTTTTGGGTTTTTTTTATTAAGCTGTTGAACTGTAGAGCTTTGATTTTAAGGATTTAGGATGGGAACATTGACATACTCTTAATGACAAGAGGCATCCTCCATGGTGAGTAACTGGAATGATTTTGGAGGTAATTTTCAACTTCTGCAGATGTGTTGTAGCCAGCCTGCAGGGAGAAAGACCTGAAATATCACTATCAGAAATCGCTTTGAACACCACTTATTGCTTCGTCGTTTGCTGTCAGTCTAGCTAGACCTTTCTCCACGTAGTAGAGAGAAGCTTTTATTCACAATGGAATTTCCTTTGTTAAAGTTTTTAATAGTGGATTAGACCATTTTCTTTAGTCTAAATTGCAGTGAAAAAAGGAACTAATGTTTTTATTATTATTATTATTATTATTATTAAAGGAAGTAAGCTTTTCTGTAATGACATTAGAGAGTTGAAACCTTGTTGTTAGGTTCACTGGTTTTAAAAAAACAAAGATTGTAATCCTAAACTGCTGGAAATTGATTACTGTGTTCAGTGGAACTGTGCCAGCTTTCACCACTGGAAAATCTGGACCCGCACTACTTCCTGATTTACATAGCTTTCCAAACTCTTTCTTTCATTTGTTCCCAGCTGAACAGAAATAGTGTATCTTAATGCTAAGCCTTCCTTAGGCTCAGGGTATTTTATTAGCTAAGCTTCAGTGTTATTCTAGCAAGGCCCCAAGGTTGGCATTTGTGTTGAAAAATAACTAGAAATCTTGGAATATTTTCTACAGTACATTTTCCCAGTCATTTGTAACTTACAGTATGTAAGAACCTTTCTTCTCTGAGTGAACTTCAGAGGCACACATCAGATATTTCACTGCAGAACCGAAGAGGACTTTTTGGTTGTGCTGTGTTCATCCTCAGAGGAAGGCAACACTCACAGAAATATGCATAATAGAGGATGGCATGTCTAAATCTTTTATAAAGTGGTATTTTGTGTTGTGAACTTATAATTTAAAAGTCCACATTAGGTCTTTCAGTATTGCAGTTATTTTTGTATAACCTATGTTTTATGTGTTCGGATGACTTGCATATTAGAATTGTGGAAGACCTTATGTTCAGACATTTTATTTCTCAACAGAAAGGGAATCGTATGCTATAGATAGGAAACAAATGGTTGTACTACTACAAGGCATTCTTTAAGCAAGAGAAGTGAACACAGAAGTTTGATCTTTTTTTAGGATTTTTCCCTTTTTTTTCTTTAGATTGCTCAGTTTTTCCACAGTCCAACCAAAGTCTCAAATCACAGTTAAGCACCAGAAGTGACACTGCTTAAGGTGATATATTATCACACTCAGTATTATTTGTTCTTAACATTATTCACAAAAGCATATACACAGGCCTTTTATAAAGCATTCATCCATTGCAAAGTTGGTATTAGTTTCTGTACTGTTTTCATGTACGTTGCTTTATTTTTATGTCACGTTTAGATATTTTGACACTTGAAGTAAAACAATGTGTTAGAACCATCATTTTCCTGATCATTCAGTTAGATCTTTGAAAATTACATACACGACTTTCATTTAGGAGGATTTCTTAGAAAGTGAGATCTCATCTTTATTCAAATATTAAATTCTTCATTTTACTGCTTAGATTTTTCCCACTTATTCTTCCTTGTATACTTTGGTGAAAAGCTTGATGATTTATTAGGTTTAGGTACTGTGTTAAAAGACAGATGGTTCATTAATTCTTGTCTAATTTTAAAATAATTTCATTTTTCTTTTTTCTAAATGATCTGAGGATCATCTAGAGATACAGTGATGCACAAAAGATCATCTGGTCACAAGTGGTGTTTCCCAGGGCTCAGTATTGGGGCCAGTTCTCTTTAATATCTTTATCAATGATCTGGATGAGGGCATAGAGTGCACCCTCTGTAAGTTTGCAGACAACACCAAGTTGGGCGGGAGTGCTGATCTGCTTGAGGGTAGGAAGGCTCTACAGAGGGATCTGGACAGGCTGGATCGATGGTCCAAGGCCAGTTGTGTGAGGTTCAACAAGGCCAAGTGCTGGGTCCTGCACTTGGGTCACAACAACCCCATGCAGCCCTACAGGCTTGGGGAAGAGTGGCTGGAGAGCTGCCTGGCAGAAAAGGACCTGGGGGTGCTGGTCGACAGCCGGCTGAGTATGAGCCAGCAGTGTGCCCAGGTGGCCAAGAAGGCCAACGGCATCCTGGCCTGTATCAGCAATAGTGTGGTCAGCAGGAGCAGGGCAGTGATCGTCCCCCTGTACTCAGCACTGGTGAGGCCGCACCTCGAGTCCTGTGTTCAGTTTTAGGCCCCTCACTGCAAGAAAGACATTGAGGTGCTGGAGCGTGTCCAGAGAAGGGCAACGAAGCTGGAGAAGGGTCTAGAGAGCAAGTCCTGTGAGGAGCAGCTGAGGGAACTGGGGTTGTTTAGCCTGGAGAAAAGGAGGCTGAGGGGAGACCTTATCGCTCTCTCCAGCTGCCTGAAAGGAGGTTGCAGCGAGGTGGGGGTCGGTCTCTTCTCCCAAGTAACAAGTGATAGGACAAGAGGAACTGGCCTCAAGTTGTGCCAGGGGAGGTTTAGATTGGATATTAGGAAAAATTTCTTCACTGAAAGTGTTATCAGGCACTGGAACAGTCTGCCCAGGGAAGTGGTTGAGTCACCATCCCTGGAGGTATTTAAAAGACATGTAGATGTGGTGCTTAGGGACATGGTTTAGTGTCCTGGTTTCAGCTGGGATGTAGTTAGCTGTCTTCCTAGTAGCTGGTACAGTGCTATGTTTTGAGTTCAGTATGTGAAGAATGTTGATAACACTGATGTTTTCAGTTGTTGCTCAGCAGTGTTTAGACTACAGTCAAGGATTTTTCAGCTTCTCATGCCCAGCCAGGGCACCTGACCCAAACTGGCCAACAGTGTATTCCATACCATGGGACGTCCCATCTAGTTTAGGAACTGGGAAGTGGGGGGGCAGGGATTCGCCGCTTGGGGACTGGCTGGGGGGCGGGCGGCGGGTGGTGAGCAATTGCCCTGCGCATCATTTGTACATTCCAATCCTTTTATTACTACTGTTGTCATTTTATTAGTGTTATCATTATCATTATTAGTCTCTTCTTTTCTGTTCTATTAAATCGTTCTTATCTCAACCCAGGAGTTTTACTTCTTTTCCTGATTTTCTCCCCCATCCCACTGGATGGGGGGGGAGTGAGTGAGCGGCTGCGTGGTGCTTAGTTGCTGGCTGGGGTTAAACCACGACATTTAGTGATGGGCTTGGCAGTGTTAGCTTTATGGTTGGACTTGATGATCTTAAAGGTCTTTTCCAACCTGAATGATTCTATGATTCTATGATCATTATTCATCACGGAATATTCCATAACAAAGGCAGCATGTCTAAATCAAGTCCAGCTCTAGTGCTTTCTTCAGACCCCAAAATATCAACTTAAGCATTTTGTTCTAGGTGAAAGAAATGTAGATTTATTTGATATGTTTCATGTTATTGCTTAAGGACATTGTCTCTTGAAGTATCCTGGTACTAGACATCATTAGCTAAATAAAAAGTCCAAAAAGCTAGGTGAAAATTTTCATTTGATACAAATTAGAGGATGGATATATGAACACTAGCAATAACTGGAAGTTATCTACAAATTTTCTTTCCCCCCTGGATCTTTTGGCCAAGTAAGCAACAGTTGTTTTATGGCTTGTTAGCTTTAATAACCATGCAGCATTTAGTAATGAGGTTTTTGAGTTAACTAGAGAGCTGTTTTACTGCTAACCTCTGCCAAGATGTTGTCCCACAAAACCCATATGTATGATGATTCATGCCCACAACTGAGAGACACAGATTTAAGCTCATGCCAATCACTTCTAGAAAGTGACAGGATGATTTAATGAACCATGCCTGGTATATGGAGAAATCCTAGGGAACAAAAAGCTTAAAAGTAGATGTGTTAAAATACATTAGTTCTACTGATTTAATATAGTTCTTGCATTTATTTCCAGGGAAAA